TTTTGAGCATTAAACAACCTTCATATCAACAATATTAATGCTCGACACAAACATATGTAAAATAACAGGGTATGTCTTGATAAGCATACAAAAAAAAATCAACAAATAATGTTTATGGAATGGAAATTGAAGCATAATAGTTATGATTTACCGACAGATTTTCTTACTTTTTTTTTCTATGTGTGGCTGAGGTTGTAGGCCAGTACACTTGGTTATACCAAAGAACTTAAATAGCAGAAGAATGAGCTGCTCTGCGTATTTGTACAGTATTCAATTGATGGAACATCCGCCCTCCCGCGAATAGGGTAAAATTCGAACATTTTACTAAGTGGAGAAACTACAGGAAACATTATTGCTGTTTATCAGAGCCATAGATAAAATATAATTGTAAACCCAATTAAGTATGTGAAATTAATATGCAATGTACGTAACAGATATACTTAATACGGCTCTGTGTTTATTTCTATACAGCGCTGCCGCGCGGACGGGGTAGAATTGCTCTCCGTGTACTAACAATGCCTTTGGAATGGATGTTCCACTATATTGGGAAGCTGCTCTATCTTCTATTTATTATCTTTGGTTATACAAAAAATCTTCATGAACTATGTGTGTTCGCCTCATAGAAATATAAGAATACTAGAGCGCTAACTGCAATGCATTCGATGTTCCAAATATGCAGAGCTGTGTGTGTGTGTACTATCCAAGATGGCTGCCATAGATTTAGCCAATCAAATTTCGCCTAAGCGCCATCATTTACAATTGCGCCCTCAATTTACATAAATATAAAAATTTAAATAAATCATTAATATATTGGGAGCACAGGTGCTCAATTAAACGACTGAATTTGAACATAGACTTGAACTAAAATATGCAGGTATGAAAGTATTTCTAATATCTGAATAAAATGGGCAAATCAATGTAAAATGGTATTCATCTTCAACTGAATTTATGGAGCAAAATTTGCATTTTCTATTCTTTCGATCTGATTTGATCCATCTACCAGTTTCAATTTCAAGTTCGAGGATACTTAGATGAAGTTTAGTCAGAATCCGTCTATATTTCAAATCTTCAAGATGTAATAAATAGGTATCAACATTAAAATTGTTTTTAAATGTAATATAATATTCAAGTTTTGGATGTGAAGCAATTTTTCCTTGGAGTCGACGTTCAATGTCAGTTAAACGTAAAGTAAATTCGGAAATAAATTTGTCATGATTAGTAACATTCTGTGCGTACCAAATATCCCCAAATCCAATAGAACATAAAAATGTTTACGTGGGTATTGAGTTTGCTGTACATTGAAATGATAATGTCTAATATGTTTCCCTTCAAACCAGCTTTCTTTAACTTACATAAAAGAGAATGGTGGTCAATGGAACCAAACGCTCGTTTTAAGTCAAAAAATGCAACAAAAACTCTACCACGTTTCTTGGCTAAATTAGTTGGGTCATTTCTGGCAATTCCGTGACCGTGGAGAGGCTAACTTAGCTTTTCAGTGGATTTGTCTTCCTTGAGGGTATAATAACAAAAATAGCTTGGGTGTCCCTCGCGAAAGTGTGGGCATAACCCGTGAGAGCCCTAAATACAAAATGGCCAGCCTTCCGCCATTTTGAAATTTATTATTTCAGTGTTTTGGCCTACATGGCTTCTTTAGTGCATGGATTTAGGGGTTTCAGGGGTCCAGGATTTCATTTTTGATTTGACCTTGTTTTGACCTTCAAATCCAAGATGGCCGCAAATTTTGTTGTCAAAAACCGCTTTTTTTTGTAGATTCGTCATAGTGCCTTATAAAAGGATTGCATGAAAGCTCTGATCATGCTGAATTGACTGATGGACAGTAAAACTACAATTAATTATACAGAAGTCATCTCAGAGGTCAAAGGTCAGCAGTTGGGGTTAATAAAAAATGAACCTCAACAGAAATTTAGATTTGAAGGTCAATCAATGGGTCATCAAATGTGAATTCCAGAATATTAATAGTACAGTACACAGGAATTTTATAACCAATGGAACTAAAAAAGCTTCTTTTTTTATTAATTGATAATGACCTTTGACACATGTGGTGACCTCAGCAGCATTTTTAGATTTGAAGGTCAAATCCAAATCAGTCAGACATTAAATATGAATTCCTAGACATAAACAGTACAGTAAAATGGAATTTTATAAAGCAACGAAACAAATAACTTAATTTTAAATCAAGCACAAAATTTGACCTTTCACCTCTGAGATGACCTCTATATAATTAATTGTAGTTTTATTGTCTGTCAGTCAATTCAGCATGATCTGAGCTTTCATTAAGCCTTTAATAGGGGCACTATGATGATTTTACCAAAAAATGAAGATTTTGAAGGGAAATTGGTGGCTATCTTGGATTTGAAGGTCAAAACAAGGTCAAATCTTCGATCCGACATCAAAAATAAAATCCTGAAACCCCTAAATCCATGCACTAAAGAAGCCATGTAGGCCAAAACACTGAAATAATATATTTCAAAATGGCGGCCATTTTGGATTTAGGGCTCTCACGGGTTATGCCCACACTTTCGCGAGGGACACCCAAGCTATTTTTGTTATTATACCCTCAAGGAAGACAAATCCACTGAAAAACTAAGTTAGCCTCTCCACATTTTTGGGTCTCTATTTACTTAATGCATAGTCATTTAAAATACGCATAACACAAAGAAAAGCAGTAGAACTGTCTCTTATACACATCTAGATGTGTATAAGAGACTAGTCTACAAACGTCGCCTAAAGTAATTGATTTTACCCGGCAGAACGAAAGAAGGAAACTCCGCTTTTCAGTTGTCTTAGGCGCAGGTTTTTTGACAAACAATGACCTTTCAGAGGTCAAATTGCTGTTAAGAATATGAATTGGCTGCTTCGCAGCAATTATTTATATTATTTTTGTCACCCTTTTTGAAGATTGGAACGATAAGACTTGTTGCCCATTGTTTAGGAAAAATGCCGGAATTTAAAGTGGAGTTGTATATTTTTGTGATTAAGTCAATGACAAATGGGTAAATACTTCAATAGGTAAACCGTCAATTCCTGGAGCTTTACCAAGTTTTTGGAACTTGATAGCTTGTTTCACTTCGTCAACAGAAATTTCATCGTTCAGTTGAAATATCAAGAAATTTGTTCTTTTTAGTTCTGAGCATTATTATATACCATTTAAACATGCATTATTCAAACAGGTAGCTTTTCAAAGAAACAAATAAAAAAGAAATATACAGAATAAAAATAAAAATTTTAATAATACACAATATCAGGCCTCCCTATAATTAGGCGGGAAAAGTGACTATGTATCCATTATATGTTGGTACTAACGCTGCACTGTGCAGCCACATGTCCCTTAAGGCCCAGCCAAATCTTCCAATTTCAAATTATTTGGAATTGGAGAAAAAAGGAATATTTAATCCTTTTCTTTTTAAACTTACCTCGGCAGTCAATTTCTACACAATCTGAGAGAGCAGTCACTGGATTACTATCAAGAGTAAAGTCTGTGGATGAACTATCAGCTTTCGACAAATTCAAGCAGATGTATGGAATCTATGAAGTCAAAAATAAAAAAAATATTATCAAAATACAGTACCATGATGTCATTATTTTACATTTAAGGTTATTTTTCTAGCAGGCAATTTAATTTAGTACAGAAATATATTTTTTTGGCAATGATTGGAAAATTCAGTTCATGAATTTCACGTCGGCATTCGGCAACTGCCAACTATATTGCCGAGCCAGAGACTGCCGACCTTGGAGAATAAGGTCGGAAAATTGTTCCCGACCTAATTTTTTCACAATTTCATGGGCTGTTTCCTGTCAAAACTATCAAATTTTATTTGACAAAAACCTAATCCCGCTTATGACATCACATCATGAACATATATAGGCACATCATGACTATATATGGGCATACAACAATTTTTTTGTCAAAGAAAATTTGAAAGCCTAGACTCTGGATAGCCAGGAAATACTTTATATCCTAATTGCCCATTGTCATATATTTAATGCTTTCCCACAGATGTTCAACAAACTACCTTATAATATGGCAAAATATACAGGCATATAATAATTTGTAAGCTAGTTGATTTGAGGAAGCTATGTCGCATGTTCGACATACGCTTATACATTTTCTGTTACTGTATTTTGTCTGTATTTGACTGTATCATGATTGTTTTGATGATGTCAATAAAAGTTATTGGTATAAGATTCGCTTGTTCTTTATTTTTCAATTAAACAGCTTGCAGAATGTTGACACATAAGGCATGTAATTGTCTCTCGATGGAATGAGATTTCTAACTCATGTATATACTTTCTGCACATTTGTGTATACAGTATTTATCTACTTTTTAATGTTGGCTTTTAGGGGGTTGGAGAATCACTAGATAGTTGATTTAACATAATTTTTTGATCATCCCATCTACACCTCGATTCCAAAGACAAAAAAAAAATGAAATAAAACAGCAATTTTTGGGTCTCTATTTACTTAATGCATAGTCATTTAAAATACGCATAACACAAAGAAAAGCAGTAGAAAGAAGGAAATAAAAAGGGTTTCTACATATAAAAGAACAAAAGAGTAGAAAAATGGAATTGTAAAAAAATTAGTACAGTATATTGTAGTAACTCTAATGTATCACATTTGACAACCTTCAATTATAGTATCTACTGAATGAATATGTAC